TATTTATATATAAATAATCATGTATGTATTTACTACATACTAAATCTAACATACCTTTGAAACATACTCTTAGACAAGTGTATGCAGATGCCCCTCAGTGAACTATGCTATCCGAAAGGAGGGCTGTAGCATTATGCATGTTGTTTGGTTGGTACACGGTGGGACGGTTGACGTTGTAATGGGCATTAAAAATCTAGATCAATTCGTTAGATTGTCTCAATGGTTCACGTACAATCCACTTCTTCTGGTCCTCATCAACGGAGTCCATATAGATTTCTTCATCATAGTCTTCAGTAGGTTTGCTAGTAACTTTTATCTCATCCGTAGGGAATCGCACCAGGTCAGTCTTCCCGGAGAAAGATAGCAAATTGACCACTATCGTGAGTCAATTTAAACCAGTGCCATTTATTTGTTTACTACCATGAAAAACAGTGGTCAATAGACCTTCCGAAAATGAAACATATACGGCTATATGCTGCCTTGTAGATTTCAAAACACACCATCAATCAATTTACACACTCAAGAAACTCTAGTTATGACTCGCACCGATTTATAGATGTCTGTGCCTACAACAAGTCATTGCTGTGTGGTTATGAGAAATCAGAGGTATGTTGGATATGTCAAATTAACTGAGAGATGTTATGGGAAGCTCGAAAGTGAGTTTTCATAGGTACCCGACACTTTCCGATTTGGCTCCACAAGCCCGCCTGCTCCGCCTGCAAAAAAAACCGCGGTCACAGGCGCCCAATAGCAGCAGTGAGCTTCCCAGCTACCGCTCAAAAGTGGACAAACCTGCAAAACCGAGCCCTAAAAAAACGCCCGACCCCACCAGCTTCTCAGTCCCAATCGCAGCCGCCAGTACCCGAACACCTTTTGACGAAAGTGGTGGGCCGCCCGATGCCGGACAAAACTCTTCATGAAATGGATGACATAACTCCGGTATGGCTCTTCTTCCGAGCAATTTTCCCTAACGGCAAGCCCCCATCTCAATCAGTATTTGAAAAATACTGGCATGCCCAACCAGCCTTCAATCGCCACCACTTTCTCTGGTATCTTCCGTCTAAATCGGTATCTCAACCAAATCGCCGCAAAATTCTTGCCCGCAGCATGGATGCATTACTGAGCCCACTTGTCAACTCCACTAACGCAGACATCCTCCAATCTACCGCGGACCGTCTCCAGAAGCCTTACCAAGCAAAGCATGATGCAAACCTCTTCTCACGTAACTCGCGAATCCCGGTAAACGCTAAAGAATCAGCGCGTGCGGAACCAGGACGACTTCATATACCAACGGTCTCCCCGACACAACCATCCGACACGATGGATAGCAATATGCAGCCTCAGCTTTCCACGACGGACTCTTCGACGACAGGCAATGATATAACAATGGCTGACATCGTCAAAGAGGAGAGCCCAGTAGTATATACCGATGATGAACAATGTTGGGACCAATGTGAATGACGCTCTTCAACCCACAAGGACTCAACATAGACAACGCAGCACATACAGATAAGCGTTTGAACATTATATCGATTTTAAGTCAGGTTGATGTTATGTGTGTGGTTGAAACCTGGCATAACACCACATTTCTTAATCATATACGCTCGAACACACGCTATCATATACTACATCACACTACACGGCATAATATCTTACACCCTTCACATTGTGGTATTGGTATCTTTTCCAAACACCACCCATCGAATTTTCAACTTGTACACTCTTCACCGTACGTGGTGCTCTTTGTGTGCTTTGGCGTCCATATGGCCGTGTTCTACTTTCCACTCAAATCGCTTACTGAAGAAGACGTCAGGCGATACATGAATCCCCCCGAGATTGGCGGTTTCCAACCAGATGTCGTGTGGGGAGATTTCAACTTCAAAGCCCGGAAGTATGGCCACGCATCTACAAATCACGGATTCCGATCCAGGCCAGCCAACACATACCGAATTCATCCGTGGTCTGGTGCGGCATTGGCTTACCCCCATCCTCGCTTCTCGACCAGATTATGACGGATAACCTGGTCCTATTCGGTATTTCGTACTCTGCAATAATCCATTCCACGGCACTACACGGCGCAGACTCGATCCGTACCACAGAGGTGATACGCTACTTAGTAGGTCAGCAAGCGGATACATGGCACATTCGATGGTATCAGTGTTTTGTCAGCACCGGCCCAAAATGACTCAGCGCATATCCTCCATCGTTGACTCACTTGGCCCAAGCTTCAAACGGGAATTTACTGACCTCTTCTTCCCATCGATCTTTCCCGAACCACTACAACGGCTATGAGAGCCATATCATATGTTCATACATTGTAACATACATACATTGAAACATACATGCATTGTAACTTATCTTTTTTTCTTGAAAAAAAAATAATATTATCCCCATAGCTGCCAGCTGCATATTTAGGTCATAGGTACTACGGTAAATAAAGCAAGCAAATTATAGAAAAAAAAACGAGGTTTCGACATTTCTGCAATGGCAAAGCTCATTACGCTATGGGGGTACGGAATAGAAGTTGAACGTAAACGCATATTTATTCAATTTAAAACGTTATATCGGTTATAATGTGATCAGAAGGGCTTATCTAAATTCTTTTTATAGGACTGATTCGTGTGGTGAAAACGGTACACCCACAAGGTACACCTATGAAAAGGACCGCATATAGAATAAAAGCTGAACGTAAACCATAGCCTTCTGAAAATTAAACACGTAAACGTATGTATATTCGATTTATAAGAGTTTTAACGGAAAACGGTTTGAGGTGAGGTGATAAACTATGAATTTTTTGAATTGTACTTTATTAGCTATAGTTCTCTGAATATATACCGTTGCCAAGAGGGATTTACGTAAATTACGACACACCTTTTCAACTGTTGTTCTAAATTTAGAAGTAAATACAGCGCTCGGGCAGGTCCGGCAGGATTGAGATGAGATGACCCTAAAGGTTGGAAAAAAACCCCCCCCCTAAATAATGGCCGACAGGCAAATTGCTATTTACAGCCTACAGCCTATCCTACACTTTTTACAGTTTACAGTTTCACTCTCTCAGTCTCTCCTCTTGTCTGTCACTCTCTCATTTGTGTGTTGTGTATGTAACTGTGTTGCAGTTGAGCTACTTGAGTCTCTTTCAGTGTTGACTGTTGAGTGTTGAGTGTTGACTATGGAATAGTAGAATACGGATATTGCAGAGTCGATACCAAATTACATTCTCATTAGTCAGTCATCGGAGACTTCCCAGTTCTTTAGTTCCCGCCTTCCCGGTTCTTAGTACACGTTCCCGATTGTTCGTTTCCAGATTTGAAATTCCACAACCGTCAGTGACCACTGAGTCACCAACCAGTCACCAGCGTTATGCTAAAAGTCTTGTTTGTCCTTTTTTAAAGAAAAAATTCAGAAGGCTATATTTTTTTTGGTATATATTTTGATTAAAACAAATGGAAAAAAAACAAAGAAAAATTCTTTTTCTTTAGTTTTTTGAAAATCGAACGTTCTCTTGATAAAATATATCATAGCAAAGTTGCGTATTTATTTATATTAAAAATGTATTGGAAAAATGCATATGTATTTTACTTATTTATATCTCAATCTGCTCTAGAAATGGGGAAAAAATATCAGAGGAAGTCTCTATGCCACTCTCTAGTTTCTCAATCAGAGATAAAAACATATTTACCATTCATGCCCCAGCAGGACTTAGGCCTCATGATATTTAATGGCCTGGTTGTAATTGACTTGAATCACACAAGTGCGTGACGGCCAAGATGTATATGTTGATGCATAATTCCGGCCGCGGCTCCGATGCAGTGGAAGCGCCCCCATTTGTATCTAGCGTTGGGAGCGCATCGCAATACAGTTGGGAATCCGCTAGTGCTAGTGTAGAATCTATAGACAGCGTTCATGAAAATCGTGACAGTTACGATCACGCAAACAGAATGAGTTCGAGTTCAAATTCAGTGCCTGTAAATACACCAGAGACTTTGGCGAGTGTGAATGCAGCACAAAGTCTACTGGATTTGTCGGCGAGCCTACATGAATTTCAACATATTAGAGACCACATTCAAGATCATGATGTTGAAAGTGAATGTAATTCGTACCAAGGTAGGCCCTACATCCACTCACCTGTGCAATATGGAGGACAAGTATTTATATTCCCCCCTAATGCACAAATAGAAGATGATGGTACGCATATCAGCGCGACTCGTAAATTCAAAACAGACGTCAGGCGGCCGAATAGTGGGCCTTATTACAGCAAGAGCTCGCACTTTGATAGACGCTCGTTTAATTCTCACTATCCTGTGAACGAACATAATGAAGGCCAGCTGCAAAGGCCGATGACAACAGATGGGTCTAAATCACATAACACGATATCCCATCACAGTACAAGCTTGGGAGATGAGAAAATACCAGTTGCCTGTGAGTCGCCTGTGCCGCAGGGGCAAAATCACACGAGGGCAATATCTCGAGCACAATCAAATCGTCTATACATTTGTGATTGGCATGGATGTACTCAGTCATGCACAAGTGCAGATAGCTTAGAGAAACACTATTATTCGCACACTCGTATAAAACCCTTCCTGTGTGCACAGGTTGGATGCACTGGCGCGTTTGCCTCGATACAGCTTTTGGCATATCACTCGGAAACCAATAACCATGAAATGATAGTGTCTCGGAACAAGCAGAGGATAAATCAGGACGCCTTGAGAATGAGACGGAGTCAGTACACGCCCGGGGATCTGGATTGCACCTGGAGCGGGTGTGGGGAATCGTTTGACTCCGCTAGAAGCCTTTCACAGCACCACCAAAGTCACTTACGAGAGTCTTTATTCCAGAGCGTATGTACCTGGGAAGACTGTTCGCGAGTGTTTTCGCACAACTACGAGTTGACCGAACACTATAGCAAGCATTTGGAAGAAAGCGAATTGGAGTATGAGAAAGAGGAAGCCAACCAATTCCAGCCGGACCAGGCATGAATGAAAGTTGCAGCACACAATAATACACAAGATACAGCACTCGCACAGGGTTGGGTCATGATACATTTGATGCAAAATTGTCAATCTTACAGGCTTATACGTGCCAGGCAAGCCACAGTGCTTGAGAAATCAACTACCACAAACCAAAGATATCAGGCGAAGATTGTGTAAGTGGGATTTATTGGAAACGCAGACTTGATACGAATCGAATCGCGCTAACAAAGATAATCTAAGAATATCGCGAAACGACACATCCAATAAAAATACTGACGTATGTACCGCAACTGTGGTAGCTGTGAACTTTTAATTGTTTATATATAATATTCAATTTCACTTGCTGGATTCCCTGTGTTGTGAGTATTACCTTCGAGTTGGATTTGAAATTTTCATAAATGGTATCCTCAAATTTTATCGAATAGGCACGAATACTATTGCCACCGCTGCGATTTTGAACTATTCGCTCGACTATGTCGAAGCACGCGGTACTGGCTCTCTGCTTGCTTTTCCAAATGCGGGAGCGCATCTCGTAGTATCGTGATATTCAGAGTTCAATTGAACCCTGTGGATCACAACTCATGGTTGAAGCCCAGCGTCCCTCGCAACACAGCCACTGTGCGCGTTGGAAGTGAGTAATTGGCCAGGTACACCATCGGATTGTGTGGCGTAGCACAAGAATCGGGCTTTGCTAAGGCATCCACAGGCTCGAGCGAAGTAATATGGTCGGGCACTTGAATATGGATAGTCTGAGCGCATACCACAGCAGCATTTGCAGTAGCGCGCTCCCTCGTGTCCAGATCCTCGTTCAAGGATTTAGTCTGGGGATAGCAGCAGACTACCGGAGTGACTACAAGCGGAGGTTTGGAGTCTCGATCTTCCATATCGGTATTGACGGCCGCTACTGGTTGTGTGATGTCGACGTCCAATGTTTTTGCGTGCGGCGTGGTTGCTGAATTGGGCGGAATTTGTGCTTGTTGCGGCATGTGAGTGAGCACAACGCCATCTGTCCCTTGTGCAATAGCTCTACTCTCTCGCGCTTCAGTCGCATCTGCCCCATCCAACCCCTTTAGCTTGTTCTCCGTGGTTACCGTGCTAATCGCACTTGAGACCACGTCTCCAGTTTGGGTCTCGTCTGCGAGCGGCTTCTTCGTACAGCCCAAGCTACCACTCTCTTCAACAGCCTGGATGTTGCCCTCCAAAGTCTGTATCGGCCCAGCATGGCGGGGTACACATGGAATCTCGACGCCGGTGATTTCTAGCTCCACCGAAGTAGCATCGACTGCCGTATGGTTTGCCAGTATTGGTAATCTGATTTGTGTTTGTATCTCCGCCAGAGCATACGTCACCCTTCACTACTGATTGCATATTGTTGGCGATGGCTGTGGAGCCTGACCTGAACGACACAAATTCTTTATCTACTATCGAGCAAGGAGACTTGAAACCCCCCTGGCCGGCAGATTGTGCCAATTCACCCATCCGAGGCGAAGCGTGTGTACGTTCATGTAGTGGAGCATCAGCACCAAATCTCAGTACAGTTTGCGAATCACGTTCTGCTCTTGATTCACCGTCGTACGCTGGTCACCAGCAGTTTGGCTTCTAACAAGCGTAGCGTTTAGGGTTGTGCCTTCAATAGCCCCAGATTGGGTGGGCCAATTCTCGGCGGCGTGACCACATTCTCGCATTTTTTTGCTGCCATGAGAGGCATCAGCCGACTGTTCCATTGCGCTGGGTATTGCAGGTGGCTTGCCATCCGGAGATAGTTCAGAGACACTGATTGCGGAAGCAGTGCATGTACGCCCATGCCCTGCACGGGCCGACTGTCTGCTACGAATATCTAATTCGCTAATACACAGCGGGATACTTGTCCCGTTTTCCATAAGCGGGACATTGGTAAAATCTTCACTCTCGCTTTCCGTTAGCTGCGGCACGCGCTCACAGCCCACATATTCGCGGAACGGATGTTTCGTACCGTTTACAGTACCGGTTTCAGATCTTGCCATCAACATATCATTCTGAGACGTGTCCACTTTAGCCATGGACGTATCCTTCCTAGATCTCTCTTGAGACAACATCGTGGTATGTTCAATCGCCCTTCCTAGCGGAGAAGTTGGTGATCTGTTGCAATTCCCGGCGCTAATGATGGTGTAAATGGGCGGCGCGCCCGCAGCAAGTGCGGGTGAGGTGTCTCTGCGCTTTAGCAGAACGAGCAATGCATCCAGTTTGTTCTCAATGCGACATAACTGCGATTGGTAGTATACGTATGAATGAGTGAAGGAGTTGATTAGCAACCTGGCTGTGACTCATTGATATTTGGGGCTCTAGATTGACTATCAGGTTTGACCCACCTTTAAGGCAATGTGTCGTAGAGAGAACTGGGTTGACGCAAACAAACTACACAAAAGCTATAGTCGAATATTCTATCTAAAACTCTCCAGATGTGTGTAGAGATACGGTATCTGATGCTAACACACTTCGAGAATATATATACCGCGCGGTGGGTAATGTTCATTCGAGCTTACGACGGATTTCTGGCTCCAAATCGATACACCAACTTGCAGACGCGCATGAATCGGTATATATTGACGATTCGAAAATGAACCATGCGTAAGCACGCATACATATGCAATGCTTCGTGTATACTAACTCCTGCAGTTGGTATAGAACTCCTATATGTCTGAGGAGGGCATGCTACCAGGCTGCAGAGATTAATTAGTGGTGGGCGAATACATATTGTAGCATCGACAACACTAACTAAAGCAACCGAGGGACAGTGTTCTGATGACTTCACTTACATCTCTGGCCATAAGAAGTGACTCAGCATAACCCTAGCACACAATAGTAAACAGTGGAATAACATATATAACCTACCATGGGTACCAGATGTGCTGTTGATGATACTGGCGGTTTGAAGTGTTTGCGGACCGGCTTGCTTCTTGCGATAGGATCGGTTTCTCCTGGATGATGAATATGGTAGATCTTCAGTTGACTATAGATCGTCCATAGCTGTTTGTCAAGGAACGACAACGACAACACAGGGCACACGTTACCATAAGAAAATGTGAACAAAGATATTCAGCAGCATGTTACACCCATCTACTTGAAAAGGCATTCTTATTCAACAATGTTAATCCATTGAGCAACCGATGGAAGCCAGGCAGCAGCAGCTACAGCAACGGTGTGCACACCGAATTTACTGATGCTCCAAGATTTTAAACAACTGACGCTCCAAGATTTTAAACAAAAAGCCTTCTCATGAAATCACTGTATAGCCGACGGCGGATAAATGCGACATACTCGTTTAAGATAATGCTTAAGCGCATGTATCACATGTACATCCGCAAACCTTTCCCCACTGCGGCTTTCAGTTTTCAACTCTTGAGTGTATAACAATTACAGGGCATCTCGAACCAACCATCTTATTTACGTATAAGCACAAATGCTGTAGCACACACCTGGCTTCGTTATTGTTGTGATATCTTCGTCTTCGACACTTCCGGATGAGGACTCTTGCACTATATCTACAACATTCGTATCCGTCTACAAATTGAAATACAAATAGTATTGAGAAATAAAAACATATTACGTGCCTAATTATGCACGTGTCAGATATGGAGGAGCAGAACCTTCTGAGGGCAAAGTACGTGCTTCGGCACAAATATGGAACGTAGAAGCAACGTCCGAGGAATAGGGCACAAGATGTACTAAAACGTGTCGGCACTTATGATAAACCCTAAACGTCTGTACGTACCACTGTGCCCTAAACGTCTGTGCGTACCACTGTGCCCTAAACTTCTGTGCGTACCACTGTGCCCTAAATTTCCGTATGTACCACTGTACCCTAAACGTCTGTACGTACCACTGTGCTTTAAACGCCTGTACGTACCACTGTGCTTTAAACGTCTGTACGTACCACTGTGCTTTAAACGTCTGTACGTACCACTGTGCTTTAAACGTCTGTGCGTACCACTGTGCCCTAAACGTGTGTACGTACCACTGTGCGTGCAGGTACTGGTTGAAGTAATGTCTCCAGAGGACTCTGCGCAAACATCTCTGGTGGTAATCGCATCATCAAGTAAAAGCCACCGACAGAAGGTGAGTAGAAGATTCGAGGTGTGCGAGTACTATACATACTGCAAATTCTTCACCTCCAAGAGTATACCTTGAACATCCGATAGAAACCGACCTACAGAAATTAGTATGTCCGCTAACAAGCTGGAGATCCTGGAACACGCAACCTTATGTTCGACATCTACTATTGACTGTGATATTGTCAGTCTGGCATTGGAAGTCACTCATGAGTTGTTAAGTAGTCCATCCAGAGATATACATGATTGTGGTTGGCATTCACAATCAGGGGAAGGCATTCGCTATCATACGGAGTGTAGCTCGACAAATCACACGCCCACAGAACATGCATCACCAATCATGTTGCGCAAGCATACTGTCGGCCTGGCTTTGCAGCCAGATATCGGTTTCGCTTGAGAACATGTGCGTATCATGTTTGAATGTCGAAAGTAGTGCTGTATCCTGTCGGCGCAGACCATCTGGCCGTTGAATGACCTTCTCGCCTGGTTGAGGCCTGCGTAGACTGTTGGTTGCATTGTGGGACAGAAGCCTCGTCTGGATTTCACGCCTAGACTGCGCTTCACTGGCAAACAACAGACCTTCGTGGAGAAGAGAATATATCGGGGAGGAATATTAATCCATAGAGAGCGATAACTGTGAAAACCCAAACTTATTGGACTTGGACTCGCCCGACAATATACAGTTCGGTCCTTTCCTCACTATGAGACGCAATATGTGAATTGTGGGGGGGCTACGTGAGGATCTAAGAGCGCGTGGAATATAAGCCGGTGATATACGGTGTTTGGCTTACCGATGGAATAAAGCAATAGGGTACATTAATCAATAAGCAATGCACATCTGGTGCCAATCTGGAAAGAATGGGCGGCAGTATTATACTACAAAACCCCTGTGCACGCTTGGTGTCTAATTTACAGACCACATAATGGACTTCAGTTTGAAACTTTGTGTAGCAGTGTCGAAGAGACGATCGATAACAGCTTAACAACGAAGTAAATGCCCTACCTTTGGTTGAGGTTGAACCAGCCTGACAAGTACCAACAAGTAGATCACTCCATTGCTTCTCAATGTTTGTTTCCTTTACCGATGTTCTGGATAGTGTTCAACAAAAGTAATCGGAAGACATTAGAATATATTTAGTACTCAATAGTAGATACCAAGACACAATACCAAGGAAATATAGAACACAGCATGGTACATTTGTAATAAGTGCATATATAATTTCAGTCCGGTTGCTTGCATCGAATCTTGACGAGTTGAAGGTGCTGTGGTTTGTGGCGACATTTCTTTATCAAGAAAGCTCTGCTAATACCAAATTGACTTCGGATTGCAACTAGGGTTATACGAAACAGTATATAGTTTCGGGTAGACAAGTGTATATGTATATCAGCACACCTTAGTGGTAGCTTTGCCGTGAGATGATCACGGACCTCAGGGGGAGCTGCTTGCTTGCGAAATACAGCACGTTCGACGATTGGGAGACCGGCATGACCACCTATACCAACGAGAAATGTCAAAGAAATCAGATTATAGTTTCAAAATATCAGGAAAAGGCGAGCATTTAATCGGCTAGAGGGATTGTCTTTAGCACGACTTCCTCATAAAATTTAACCCATCAGCTTTACAAAGGTAAATAGCGTATTGGATTCTATCTTTATCGCCAAGTACACCACGGGAGAAGTGCAACAACTTAGCAGCTGTTGTATTAAGGTCAAACTGCATGATCACAAGCACAATATACAACCACAAGTGCATGTATGCTTAAATATGTCTCATCTAATACACAAATGCTCTGACAGTGCCTAAAAATAAACTCACCATTCACCATTCCATGTTCCATTGCAGAGCTCGCAGACCTATCGGGTCGATCGCTGCCGTCTCGGGAGTCGTCAGCGGTGTCGGCACGAATGGACCGCTCAAACGCATTTAAATCAGGACTTACTTCCATCGCAGTGTGCTTGATTGAACTAATTGTATTGTTGTGCGTAGGGTCAACTTTTCGTGAGCTACCACGGGCGGTCTTGGTCATGCCAGTGCAACAGCCAGCTACAGACGCATATTCGCTTAATTGCTCTGTGCGCGAATCGGCTTCTCCAGTAGTGGGCAGGTGTTGAAGCAGCGCCACAGATTGTGACATAAACCTACTGTCGACTGAGTTTTGCTGCTTCGTACGTGCTGCATCCCGGACAAGTTCCTCCTCGATAATCGGCCGCGCCCGAGGCACTTTTTCCGACTTGCGTACTGCGTCTCGGCACACCACCGCATCTGTGTCTACGACGGGATGAGCATCCACTGTGCAGTCGCGCTCACTGATCTTTTGACCATCCGGGCTCTGAGCACGCACATGATCGGTGCCCTTTGAAGGTGGCTTCGCAGCACTCGCCTCTTTGCGCTGATAGTACGTGGTACCACTCTCAAGTACTCCAGCTGCAGTATCAGCATTGTCACATGTCACTCCGGTGGCAGTCTTGTTTCCGGCACATACTACGTCCCCATTCTCTACTGGGCAACTCGCGGCCGATAGTGACTTCAACGGCGCAGATGTAGTGTGTTTAGTTACAAGACCTTCACATCGCACGGCACTTTCTGGAGGGCTTTGAGATGACCCAAGCTCTACAACAGCAGAGCCTCGATGCCCCCGCCTTTCCGAGACTGCCTTTACAGTGCCGGCCACCTCTAATGTAGGATAGCCGTGCCCACTCAATGGAAGCTCAGCTCTGTGAAGGGCGACATCACCCCCGTTTGGTTGGTTAAGTACTGTGAGCCCAGTCTTACCGCTTTCTGGCTTGATCCCGCCACTCGTACTCACACTCGCTTCCACCTCCGCAGGCAATGTGTGCGCGGGAGAGAGCATGCCGCATAATCCTGGGGCGGTTTTGCACCTGTCGATTTTCTCACTGCCTAATGATGGCTTGAGCGTCTTGTGTCGCGATGTACCTGGGTGGCGAGTATAACTCTCGGTGTTTCCTGCAGCGCCGCTGTGAGCAAACAAGCCTTGCCAATGGCCATGCTGATTGTCGCTGGGGCGGTTCAGTGAGCGTCTGTCTCCGTCATTGTATACTTGTGCCTTCACGACTGCTTCACGAGAATGTTTGATACAACCATGAGCGCTACCTAACACCACAGTGGAATAGCGAACAACTGAGGCCGTGTAGACCGATCCATCAGCCCTGCGCAATAACACTTCGCCATGGCCCACATCTGTCACAGCCCGAGGTCTCTGCGAAACATCAGGGTGATGCGTGGCAGGCAACTCCTCCGAGTACACACCGAGTGCTTGTGGACACATAAACCGTGGTGGTTGTACCGAGTTTCTCCCGGTAGCGATACTTCCACCATCGCGGTATCCTTTGTTGGTCACTACGACCGAAGCAAGACGCTGATAGCATGACGGCATATGGTTAGACACAGGCGTGAGGAGTAGGGCAGGTCGCTCACTGGACTCTATGGTCCTTTCAGTGCGAGTGTCGGGGTTTGTTGACAGGTGGTCGTGCTTATGCGGAATACTGCATCGTGGTCCGCTCTCCGATGGTGTGCCTGGATGCCTGTCCACCAACTCCACAACTTGTAGCGCTTGTTGCGATGTCTTGGTGGCATGGATTTTAGTTGTACGCCCATCACGGCTGCCACGAACGCTCTTCGACTGCTGTGGTTGTCTGTCAGCGTGGGCACGCAGTGAGACGGTAGCTGCCACGGGAGTAGTGCTGTTGGTACGGGGTGCAGCATGTTTATATTCGTCTGTATGGAATGGAGAAGTTGATTTCTGTGCACTAGCATGCATCTTGGATTGCATCTGCGCCGACATCCTGCGCACCGGTACGAGTGCATCTCCATATTCCCAAGTTTCTTCTGGACTACAGTCTTGCGCACGTCGTCGGTTCTCAATACATCCCTTGCCTACGGCTGATCTGTTGTCTGTATCATCCCCTGAGCTACCTGGCTGCGGAATCCCCAACGCATGTAGTGTCTGCGTCCTTTTGCGTGTAGGTGATACATTGACAAGCTCGCTTCCGTCTCGCATTCTGGGAATGGTTTCGATGTTGTCTTCGCTTTCCATGACCTTATCCACGTGCCCCTCATGAAAGTCATGTGTGCTATGACGGGATCGGGATGAATATATGCTCTCATCATGTGTGCGGCGCTCTTTCCGCGGCCGCTTCGCGGACGCCTCACTCCATGCGTGCAATCCACCCCTGTCTGCCCCTTCTCTCTTATCTGTCGATCGCTGTACTTTGTAAGTGTGTTTATCCCCCAATGCACGGGGGTGTGATCCGATCCCCTTCCCGTCTACATGTGAGTACGCGCCATCGATATTTCGATACGACTCATACAGAGACCTACGGTCGTGAGCAAGCGGCCGCTTGAAAGCCACCTCATGAGATGAAGAATTCTCATCCACCCTCCCCTCCGGTTGCTCGGAGCTCGTACTGGCTTTGGGGACTTTGGGATTGGTAATGTCGTCGTTGTCGTCGATTAGTATTCGCTGGGGGTGAACTGATTGGGATAGACTCTCCTGCTGCCACGACTGCGGGTCTTGTCTCACCTTCTCCGAATGCACTCTGAGCAGCTTACGCTTGTCAGCGATATAATTACGTGGGGCGCTTGGAGCTGCATCTTTAATCGGTCGCCGCTCATCCGGCGAGACCAATGCGCGAGTATGGGCCTGCTGTGATCGGTTGGATTTGACCTCTGTATCCATTCTCGCGGGCGAGGGGGGTGGTAGAAACATAGACCGTGGTTTGGCAAACCCGTCACTGCGCCGCTGTTGTTTGTTGTGCTGTGGTTGCGTATTAGGTTTCTCCTCCCGTGTACTAGCATGTACAGTCTCGTTCACGTCATGATGACTATGTGTGTTACTACTGGACTTGAGGGCGTGTGCCTTCCCCAAATCTCCGCGGTGTCGGCTGTGGTTGGTGATATCATGAAGTGTGTCTCGTTTGCGCTTCGATGTACTGGTCTTGCGGCCCTGGCCATAGCGTGGTGTCAGATCGACCGTCTCCGGAAGTGGTCGGCGAGTCTGGCGGCCACCTGAGTGTAATTCCGACAGGCTCAGCTACTCTGCTTCATGGCGGTATGGGGATGAGTGTTCAACGCTGCACACAACACTTTTGGGGGTTTATAAACCATCCGCTCGCAACCAGATAGCTCTTTCCAATACTCGCATATTTCACACCAAGGAGAAAGCGCCGCATGTAGGGATGTAATCCTGCCACCACAACTCCCGAATTTCTGCGATATTTCTTTCAGCATTCTCTCAAAACGCACTGTTTGGATGGTCTGAGTACCTGCTTTACTGCTCACCGACTTCAAGGTCTCCGCTGATATGAGATCCATGCTCTTACCCTTCATGCGAACAGGCAGCCCTGCAATGAAACCATACAGAATATAACTGGAAAATAAGTAGGCCATATACTGAATCCTTACTTGGTCAGGCACAAATACACACACCCATCACCCCCCCCCTCT